GTCTTCCAGCGCCGGGGCAGGCTTGGGGGGGGGGGGTCCCATGGGTGACAGACGGGCTGGCAGGGTGTCCATGGGCTCTGGTTCCTGCAGGGGTCCAGGTGGGCTGGCCCAGTCATCTGTGCCTGGCGAGGGTCCCGGAGGGTTTGGAGTGGGTTCAGCTGGTGTCTCAGCAGCCTAGGCCAGGGCTCCAGGGTTGGCAGGGGTCCTGGCAGCCCAACCCAGCCCTCTGACTGAGCCCGTAGCTCTTCTAGTCCTAGATCTGCCCTCTGGCTTCCTCTGGACGGGGCTAGGTTTGGCTGGACTCACCTGCCAAGGGGTTTTAGAGGGCACTTCCTCTTCCGGGTCAGTGGGTGGCCGTGTTGCTGTCCCAGGTTCATTACAGTCTGTAACTGTAAAAAAACAACAAATGCTCTTGCAGCACTTAAGATGCCTCTACACAGCACCCTAAATTTGAAATAAGATACACAATTTGCGTTGTGCAAATTGTGTATTTTGAAATTTGGCACATCTACACAGCACCAAATTGCAAAATGTACTATTTTGAGCCATCTTATATCCCTTGTGCAACGAGGTTTGCTGAGATGGCAAAATAGCATGCCCATTATTTTGAAAAATATTTTGAAATAACGGGCAGCTTGTATAGATGCAGAATAGCTATTTTGAGATACCTTCGGTACTCTGAAATAGCCATGCAGTAGAGACGTACACTTAGGGTACGTCTAGACTACAGGGTTTTGTCGACAGAAGTTTTGTCGACAGATACTGTCGACAAAGCTTCTGTCAACAAAGAGCGTCTACACTACATTCAGTTCTGTTGACAAAGCAAGCTGCTTTGTTGACATGGCAGTGTAGACGCAAGGACAGTTTACATGCAATAACACCTTCTGTCGACAGAAGGTGTTATTGCATGTAAACTGTCCTTGCGTCTACACTGCCATGTCAACAAAGCAGCTTGCTTTGTCAACAGAACTGAATGTAGTGTAGACGCTCTTTGTTGACAGAAGCTTTGTCGACAGTATCTGTCGACAAAACTTCTGTCGACAAAACCCTGTAGTCTAGACGCCAGATAAATGGAGCAAAGGGTCCAGAAGAAGTGACTCTTGTGGAAGCATCTCGACATATATGGAGATTGGAGAAGGTGGGCAAAGTATGAAAAGAATGTGAACTGCTGTTGTCTCTACTATGAATGGGGACTACAGTCTCCATGGCTGTCAAGCCAGAACTTTTTGCCAACATTCACTTGCTTAGAATAATTATTAAAGTTGGATTAACATGCCTCAGACTAACTCCAACAACTTCCTCTGCTCTGAATTTTTAGTGGAACCTAACAGGATAAAATACACTCCAGAAAACCTCAGCAATGAGATTGCCTCCAAGCACCCAGGACTGATAAATTCAATGAAGGAACACACGCAGCTACTTTCTCATGGGCTATTGATATTTTCCAGAAGCTGGGCTGTTCAGGTTGACTTGCAGGAAAACCCATATGTGGTGTGTGATGCTCTCTTAATAGCTGTGGACAGTCCTCCAATACTCTACACAGTCTTTGAGAATCCCAACTCTGCAGGCATTTTTGAATATTCAAGATGCACTGCACGCAGGTTAAAGGAAAAACTGGTAAACGTAGGGGGCTACACTGAAAAAGTGTGTGTGAGGCCAAAGCTACTGTGTCTGCATGGTGACAGTCATAAAGACCAAGATGGGAACATGAACGTGCAGTGTAGGTACCCGACTGATTACAGTCGCATCAACAGTGATAACCTGCAACTTTTACTGCGCTCGCTCACAATATTTTTGCTGAGTTTCCCCTCCTTTTTAAGTGACCAGCTTGGCTGTGAGTTTTTCAACCTCCTGACCATCCGACAGTACGAATTGCTTTCAAAAAACCTTCATGTGGCCAAAAAGCTATTTGTCTATGGCCTGCCAGGAACAGGGAAAACCATAGTGGCTCTGAAGATCATTGAAAAGATAAGGAATGTGTTTAATTGCAAGCCAGAAGAGATTCTCTACATCTGTGAGAACCAGCCTCTGAAAAATTTTGTGAGGTGAGCATTTCAGATATAATTGCAAACTGTGCCAATGCTTGATCGATGCTATTTATTTAAGGTAAGGTGCACATCTCTATGAAAAGCGTGGGTTTGAGGAATACATTATATTTACTTATTGCTGAAAAGATGTTTTCAAGAACTAGAAAGATCTTTCACCCTAAAGGCACGAATAGTTGCTGTTTTGAACACATCACAGAGTTATTGGAAACCATTTATTCACTAATAACACTACCATTTCACTGCTAAATTTGGCTAGATACAGTTCAAGATAGGTCTAAGTTGGACAGTGGCAAAGAGGTGTCATTTACACCAATTTGCCATTCAGTGTGTGCAAAATGAATGCAACTCGCACATCATGGGTGTGTAGGAATAGAGGGCTTACAGGTTGAACCTCCCTAGTCCAGAACCTTCTGGTCTGGCAACGTCCATAGTCTGGAATGATTTCAGTTAGCAGGATGTCCACTTATGGCTGTGGCCAAGTTTCCCGCAGTCCCATAAGGTTTGTTTATAGCCACCAGTCCTGGCTCAGTGTTCTGTGCTGTTGTTTAGCTTGAATTTACCCCTAAATGTCTTCTAACATCTCAGTAAGCAGTGGCAGTGTTGGTAATGCTGCTAGACTAGAATTCGTGAGGCTACCATGGTTCAGAATGAGTCAGGTCCCAATAGTGCTGAACTAGAGAAATTCAACCTACCAGTTTCCCCCAGCACCAGCTTCTACTCCTCCCCCTCTTGCTGCCTTTCTCTGCATTTGTTTATCGGATAGTTGACTTGTCGCTAATGTCACTATGCAGGATGTAGATTTCTAGTATAATTCTGTGTTCAGGACATGTGGTTATCTGGGATGCATGCATTAGTCTTACTAAGGCAATTTTTTTTCTTCAAGTCAACCTTTTACTGGGAAGGAGGTTTGTTTTGTTCATAACTGTTTTTCTGTAGATTTATAGCTTATTTCACTGATTTCACTCCATCACAATTGATCAGATTTAGAGAAGTTCTTTGCCGTACACATGCACTAATATTTCTCAAATATTTTATTTGTGTTGTAGTCAGAAAAATATTTGCCAGTCTGTGACAAGAGTAACCTTCTTAAAGATGAACTTTGAAGAAGTGAGACACATAGTAGTTGATGAAGCTCAGAATTTCCGGGCAAATGATGGCGCTTGGTTCACAAAGGCTAAACGTATCACCCAAAGACATAGTGAGCCTGGTGTATTCTGGATCTTCTTGGATTATTTACAGATAAGTCACCCTTTTGCGACTGGTCTTCCACCTGCACGTCAGCATGATCCTGTGGATTCACTAACCAAAGTGGTCCGAAATGCCAAGGACATATACAACATCATAAAAAGTCAAATGGAAGTTATTGTAAGGGATAAAACATTAAGCCATGTTCCTTATCAGCGTTTAGAAAAGTTGTTAGACAAAGCCTCATGTGATCACCATCTGCCAGGTTATACCATACGAAAAGACTTAAATAAGAATGAAATGGCAAATTATGTGGCTAGACAATGTCTTAGGTATTTGGAAAAGGGCTACTCAGAGAAAGAGATTGCTATTCTGTGCAGCACAGAGAAAGATAAACCAGACTATGAGCCCATATTAACAAGAGAAATGAGGAAATTCAGGCTGAATATAGTTTTCCAAACAGCAGATGAAATACAAGGAAAGCATATTATTCTTGACAGCATCCGTCGCTTTTCTGGCCTAGAAAGGAGCATTGTGTTTGGTGTCAATCCAGTCCCTTCACAGGAAGAGATTTCTGCCAACCTTTTACTCTGTGTGGCATCCAGAGCTAACTTACACCTACATTTGCTGTTTGAAAAGATCCCACCATCTTCCCGAGCAACCCATTCCAGTGCTTCACCTAGGCCAGTGGTCTCCAACCTTTTTACACCCAAGATCACTTTTTAAATGTCAGGACAAGCCAAGATCTACCCTTATCGCTTCCCCAAGATCCTACCCGTTTCATGAGACCTCGCCCTCTGTTCCCCTTCTCTCCATCACTTGCTGTCCCTGGCCCTTATATGTTCTCAAGGTACAGTTACATTGCTGCTTTTTTTAATCCTTCTGTTGGAAGAAATTTTTCCAACATTTGGCCCATCTAGACAGGGCCCAATGTTAGAAACCCCCTTCCTTTGGAAGCCCCCTCATTCCTCATGGAATAAGGAATAGAGAGGCTGCCAAAAGAGCATGTTTGTCAGAAAAACACCTGCAGTCTAGCCGTACCCTCACTGGATTGAAACAGGAGGTGCGGGCTCTGGGGTGGAATGAGGGATTTTGGGGTGGGAAGGGATGAGAGGCGCAAGCTCTGGGAAGGAATTTGGATGCAGGAGGAGGTGGAGAAGAGGATGCTGGCTCAGGGAAAGGGCTCCAGGCTGGGGAATGTTGGGGTCAGGTGGAAGGTTAGGATGCTGAGCAAGCCACAGGCTTGTGGATGTGAGGGTGCAGGAGTTTGGGTTGGGGGGTGTGTAGCCAGACAGACCAACCCCCCATCTCATCCATCTTATTTGCCTTTCTGAGGTTCCTGAAGCATACAGGGCAGAGAAGGAGCAGTAAAATCAGCATAGTCTATGCTGGCTCATCTGAACCTGAGAAGCTGAAAACATAGATATGAGGAGAAAGAGAGCGATTAAGACAATAGGCTGGCCTTGAGGCTGCGAGAACTGCCCGGCTGGCACCCATGTTGATTCGAACACACACAGTCCCTGGGAGAGGAATCCCCCACTGAGAAAAGAATGCCCAGTACTTCCAATTTAGTTATCTCTCTTACAAGTGTAAATTAAGTTCACAACTCCCTTGTAAGAACTGGTCTCACAAAAGACAGACCAGCACCATTTGGCATGACAGACAAGAAAGAGAAATACGTGACCCCATGAGTATAAAAGTGGTACAGCAGCACACTCTCTTTTGAGAGTCATTCTACCCTCTACCTGCTGGTCGGGTTAGGTGTTTGACCTCCCGAGGTTCTATGGGGACGCCCACCTCGTATTTTCGTCTTTCCTAGGAATTGAGGGACCGGCCCTGGCCTGACATGCTGGAGTCGAGAGGCACAGAAGGGGGTAAAAATTGTACCTGGATGTGGTCCTCTGTCTTAAGTGTACACATAGAAAGAGTAAGGTGTTACTTGGTACCATTATTTCTATTTTTCTATCTTTATCTTCTTTGTAACCGTTTTTAAGATCTATATTTTGCTAGTAGTTAAGAAATAGAGCAATAGCCATTGTAACCATATGATTTATAAGCTTCCTCAATAAACCTGTAACTGTTTAAGCTTTAACCTGACTCCTTCAGTTGCTGTAACAGAACCAAGCACAATTTAAAAGAACTTCAGCCGGTCTTAAGGGACAGATATAGGGAGAGCTTGGGCGTTTGAATTTGTGTCACACCAAGGTGGCAGAATCCACTGGGGCACTTCTCAGCCTCCCCCAAGGCTGCCCGCTGCGAAGGAATTATGAATTCTAGCAGCTGAAATCTGAAGTGTTATAAGCTCTCCCTGTACACTTAATGGGGCGCTCGTCAACCTCCTCCAGGTTGCCCGCTGCAAGGGACCCCGGTCTCAGCAGTTGAAGTCTCGGGTGTATAGCACACACACACACACACACACCACTCACTGCCCTGACCGTCGGCTGACAGGGTGTGAGGAGCTCAGGGCAGGGAGACTGAGTATGATGGGCTCAGGACACAGATTTGCACTGTGCGGATGGTGCAGAAGTGTTGTGGCAGAAGACTGAGGTTGTGGGGGTACAGGAGTTCAGGGATAAGAGAGGCTCAGGTCAGAGAGTTCCAGTGTACGACAGGCTCAGATTTGGGGTTGGGGTGCAGGGTACAGGAGTGTTATGATGCTGTGGCCAGATGAGGGCTTGGCCCCAATTGGGGGCTTGTTGGCCAGGCTCCATTTTTAAATAAAATATTGTCAAACACAAAGGGTGTGTCTAGACTGGCAAGATTTTGCGCAAAAGCAGCTGCTTTTGTGCAAAAACTTGCCAGCTGTCTACACTGGCCGCTTGAATTTGCGCAAGAGCAATGCCTTTGTAATGCACAAAATCAGTGCTTCTTGCACAAATACTTTGATGCTCCCACTCGGGAAAAAGCCCTCTTGCGCAAGAGGGCCAGTGTAGACAGGGAAGGAATTTTTTGCGGAAGAAAGCCTCGATGGCGAAAATGGCCGCCGGAGCTTTCTTGCGCAAAATCACGTCTAGACTGGCCACGGATGCTTTTGCACAAAAGCACTTTTTTGCACAAAAGCATCCATGCCAATCTAGACGCTCTTTTGCGGAAAAACTTTTCTGTTAAAAGTATTTCTGCAAAATCATGGCAGTCTAGATGCAGCCATAAGGTTTCAGCGTTGTCTTTATTTATGGGGAGACGAGGAACCTGTTTTGAGTCAGGGGTCACTCACTCACAGAAAAGTCAGTCGGGGCCACGCAAGTGAGACACAAAACCATAACCCCTCAAGTCTCATTAATGTGGCCCCAACTGTGGGGGCAGAGGGCGAGGTGCCAAAGTGTGCTGGGGCAGGGGCCAGAGTACCGGTGAGTGCTGGTGCAAAGTACTGGGGGGCGGAGGGGGCAGGGACTGATACTTGGGGATCCTGCAGCTGTGGGCCAAGGTCCAGGAAGGGTGCAGGCTGCTCCCCCATCCCCCAAACAGTGGTGCGGTACCTGAAATTTTGATCTGTCATGTGCCTCATGCCTTCCCCTGTGTGGGGGAGCAGGGGGAGTCCCGGCCCATGCCAGTCCCAACTGATCAGTCATCGCACTCCTTGCTCCCGCACTCCCTGCAACAGTGCGTACTATCCACTCAGCTGGAGCCAGTGCTCTGGGGACTTTATTCCTCCACTGCCTTCCCGGGAGGGGGCAGAGGGGGAGTCCCAGACCGCACCAGCCCCAACCACTCAGGCAGTGTGCGCCCTGCTTCCCACAACAGCACGCGCCACCCGAGCAGCTGGAGCTGGCACAGTTCCGGACTCCCACCCCCTCCCCCATGTGTAGGAAGGTGGCAGGGGAAAAAGTGTTATCACGCGATTATTGCAGATTAAACACAAGATTTGTAAATCTGTGCTGCTTTTACATTCCGCTTTTGAAAGAGGAATGTAGTTTAGACATGCCCCTAGTGAAATAGCTTTTCCTGAAGTCTGCTGATGCGCAATAAAAATAGTTACATAGAATGCGATAGACAATTTGAGCCACTGTGAAACCTAATGGCCTTGGAGAGAATGCTAGAACATTAGAACTAGATGACCATTAGATGACCGAGAGGTCATCAAGTCCCTGATAGTTAGGGAGTTTCTCTTAATGTCCAACCTAAACCTCTCTTGCTGCAATTTTTGCTTCTCATCCTATCATCAGAGGTCAAGGAAAACAATTTTTTTTCCTTCTCCTTGTAACATCCTTTTAAGCACTTGAAAACTACTGTCATGTCCCCTCTCAGTCTTCTCCTTTCCAAATTAAAAAAGCCCAATTTCAATCCTTCCTTCATAGCTCATGTTTTCTAGACCTTTAATGATTTTGGTTGCTCTTCTCTGGACCTTCTCCAGTTTCTCCAAATCTTTCTTGAAATCTGGCACCCAGAACTGGACATAATACTCCAATTGAAGCCCACTCAGTGCAGAATAGTGGAAGACTGAGTTCTCTGGTTTGCTTACAATGCTCCTGTTAATGCATCCTAGAATCATGTTGGGTTTTTTTTGCAAGCATTACACTGTGGATTCTTATTTAGCTTATGGTTCACTATGAGCCCTAGATCCCTTTCTAGACAATCACTTCCCGTTCTGTATGTGTGAAACCAATTGTTCTTCCCTAAGTGGAGTACATTGCATTTGTCCTTATTAAACTTCATGCTGTTTACCTCAGCCAATTTCTTCAGTTTGTCCAGATTGTTTTGAATTATGATCCTCCAAAGCAGTTGTAACCCCTTCCAGCTTGGAATCATCTGCAAACTTAATCATGCTCTCTATGCCGATATCTATGTCATTGATGAAGATATTGAACAGAACCAGTCCCACAACTGGCCCCTGTGAAGCCCCACGTGTTTGCCCATCCAGCCTGATTGTGAACCATTAATAACTACTCTCTGAGAATGGTTATCCAGCCAGTTATGCACCCAGTTTATAGGGGCCCAATCTAGTTTATTGATAAGGAGGTCATGTGAGACTGTGTCAAATGCCTTACTAAAATCTAGGTATGCCACATCCACCACTTCTCCTTATCCACAAGGCTTGTTATCCTATGAAAGAAAGCGGTCAGACTGCTTTGACATGATTTGTTCTTTTCAAGTCCATGCTGAACTCTGGACTGAGGCTGTTGTCTTTCTGCCCAGCACCACTGTGATCTACACCCTGTTGACTCAGTTCCCTAGGACCCAAGTTCTAGATGTGGGGCCTGCAGCCTGCTTCCTCCCTGGGCACTTTCCTCACCAATGCCAAGAGCAATTCACAGGCCAGGGCAGAGACATCTGACCCCCTAAGTTTTGTGCAGGTGGTGACACTGGGTCCCTCTCAAAAGCTGGTCTGAGGAGAAGGCAGCAGTGAGGCCCACCTCCAAACTTTCAGCCCATGCTTAGAGCACTCTCCTGGGATGTAGCAGGTGTCAGTTCCTTTCCCTCTTCACAGCCTGAGGGGGAGGAGGGATTTGAACCAGGGTGTCTCACTTCTCAGGCAGGTGCTGTACCCCTGAGCCAGTGGCACATTCTGACATGTAGCTCCCTCAGATGCTCCTGGGGAAGCTGTTCCTTTCAGCTAACTAGGGTGAATGGAGCAGGGAGATAAGAACAAGGTGAGAAGAAACTTTCAACCCCTGGGCCAGAAAGTCCCCCTCTGGCTTTTTTGTGTGAAGTGAGACCAGGGCCGGTCTTAGGCCGATTCAACCTATTCCCCCGAATCGGGCCCCCAACCAGTCGATCGCGATCCACTGGTGGATCACAAGGCCTCGACCAGTGGATCGTGAGGCATTCAGGGCCCCCACCCCCAAGAAGCCCCACTACCTACCTCCAGCGTAGTGCCAGTTTCCCCGGGGTGGACGGAAGTCCTTCCTTCAGCTTCGTGCCACTTCCGGGGATTACGGAAGTGCGCTGGCTGCTCCCCTCCTACAGCTCCGTGCCCCAGCGGCTTCCCTGCAGCACAGTGACTGCAGGACTCAGGAGGGGTGAGTCAAGCGCAGGGACTGTGAGAGGGGTTTTGGATGCACCGCGAGAGGGGGGTTTGGCCGGCTTTCCTCTGGGTGGGGGGAGAATCCTG